ACGTGTATGATGTAATGATGTGATGATGTGGCAGACTGAAGTAGAAAATGCTTCTTTAACCTTTTAGTCATTGCCACTTCCTGCGAAGTAAGCCCAGATGGTGAACAGCTGCCTCCTGTAACTCTAAGCAACTTCTCTGATCTGAGTAAGATTACAATTTATATCATAATCTGTTGTGTTGTCTCCTGGTTATTTAATACATATAAGTTATGAAGTGTTATTTAAAGAGTTTGTCCCGAGTGATCTCGTTCAGGGAAAAGAAACAGAAAGATATAAAGATGTAAATAAAGAGCCTATCTTTAAAACTGCTCTGGGGCAGATCAGTTTTTGATGCTGTTTTCTATAGTGTTTATATCCAAGGGGGATTAGAGGTCCAAACACAGCTAATGAACTGAAAACTTACGCTCATACACCCTCCGGGGTCCTCCTCCGCCTCCTGCACTCCTGTCTGTGAAAGGAGGAAAAGGTGGTGCCGGCCTCCATGTCCTGAAGTCGTCCTCCTCCTCCCCTTCTCCGTAGGGAGATCTGGGCAGCGGAGCCAGGTTTAGAGGAGGCGAGTTGGGCAGGGATGGAGGGTCGGGCCGTGACCCGAATGCAATGTCTGACCTGGGGTCTGGAGGGAGCCTGAAGGTTGGAGCTCTGGGCGGGGAGCCGTCAGGCCGGCTGTAGTCTCCTTCAGGGTAGAAACCAGGACTGAAAGGGAATTTTCACCTGTTAGGAAATCAAACACCCAAAAATAATTTAGGGTCTCAGAAACCATCTCCTTTATCCTCACCTGAACTCAGACCCACGATAGGCTTCATCCGGTGGGCCGAAGGAGGACGGGGTCCTTCCCCTGATCCCTGACCTGCTGCCCCCTACATAATCTTCATAATCAAGAGGATCATAATCTCTCTCAGGAAGCGGCTCTGGAGGGAAGTACTCCGGACTATAGGGAGGAGCTGGAAAGATGAGGAGAGGAGCCACATATTATCCCTCTGCTGACATGCTGCTGCTGGACTGAGGAACATTTGTGCAAAACCTGAAGGTTTTGTTGAGGAGGCCGGGTTTAAAGCAATACTGTTGAATTTTAAGCCACAAGGGGCACTAGAGCTGTAACTTCCAGTTTTAGTACCTCTTAAAGCAACTGGACAGATGGCGCTTTACTTCATTACTTATTTTTCTTCCTACTTCTGACTTCTACTCATTACATTTTCACACTAGTATTTGTACTTTCTTTTCCATACATTTTTAAAACAAACATTACTTGTTACTCTTGCTTCAGTTTAAAGTTTATAAATATTTATTTCACGTCAATGTAGATCATGGTCGCCATCCATAACTAGTAAAAACTAGATGTCGATGTCGAAATGTCTGAAAGGTCGGACACAGGCGAGAGCGTAACGGGAGATGGAGACCAACAAGACCTCCCTCATCCTCGGCCCTATCTCAAAGAATTTTTCAAAATAGTCAAAAAGTTGAGATTTCAATTCATATAGTGGCACCTGGCTGTTTTTTTTAGAAGTTACTTTACACTTTAAGTAGTTTTTTGGAGCACATACTTTTCACTTTTACTTGCTTAAAGAGGTCAAGTTGACCTCTTTTACCAGAGTGTTTTTAAACTACAATATCTATACTTCCACTTAAGTAACAAAATTACAGTGTGTACTTTTGACACCACTGTAAATGAGTATCTCTGAAACTCTTTGAGGTTTTTACCTCAATAAAATAATAAGACTGGATAAATAAAGAAAAGCCTCTCAGTTCCCCTTATATAGCATAAGACAGACAGAGGTGCAGCTTTGAGTAGGTATTCAAAAAGCATTTATATTTAGATATTGCTAACAACAATAATTTCTATATTATTGTTGTTTATGCTTTTTAACAGTGACTGTGAGGTGAGGGCAGCTTATGCTCATAATGACTTCACTAAAATACATTAATTTCTTATTTTAAGATACATTTTTTAGCTAGAGTGAAAATTTAAAATCTCAGAGTGGCCCCATGCGGTCAGATATTGGCCAAACTGATCACAAAGTAGGTCAAGCAGTCAGTTATAGTTTCTGTCTCGAGCATCTATCATAGCAGCACCTCTGTTAAATGGTAAATGGCCTGTACTTATATAGCGCCTTTATTCAAGTCAGGAGACTT